GTCCTTTCCATTGTTATTTTTGGGGGGGGGGGGGGGGCCTTTTGAGTGATGGACCGCCCAAGCCTAGTGTATTGTGTCCAAATTTGGTGTCAATTTGTCCAGTGGTTTTTGAGTTATGTTAATCCCACAAATGAACATTACATTTTTATTTATATAGATAACTAGTTGTCCCCTGCCACGCGTTGCTGTGGCCCAGTCTGCGTATATGTGTTTTTTGTGTGTATATATGTTTATATATTTATGTATATGTGTATATAAGTGGTTTTGTGCATTCGTTCTAATGTATTTTTTATTTTTTGGCTTTTTAAGTCTCTTCTATTGTGTCTTTCAGTGTTTTTATGAGTGATGGCCATTTGCTGGCCTAATAGGTGTATTGCGTCCAAATTTGGTGTCAGTTCGTCCAGTGGTTTTTGAGTTATGTTAATCCCACAAATGAACATTACATTTTTATTTATATAGATAATGGTCTAGTACAATATAGTAATATATATGAGTTATGTTAATCCCACAAACGAAAACTGCATTTTTATTTATATAGATAATGGTGTAGTACAATATAGTAATATATAATACTGATATTGTACTGTGCTAATAATATAATATATTGTGTGTGTATATATCTTGTAAGCCGCTCTGAGTCCCCTTTGGGGTGAGAAGGATGGCATGTAAATGTCGTACATAAATAAATCTGTATAAATAAAAATGTAATGTTCGTTTGTGGGATTAACAGAACTCAAAAACCACTGGACGAATTGACACCAAATTTGGACATAAGACACCTAACAACCCAGTGTATATCCTTCACTCAAAAATTTTGATTTTGTCATTTGGGAGTTGTAGTTGCTGGGATTTATAGTTCACCTACAATCAAATAGCATTCTGAATGCCACCAATGATGGAATTGAACAAAACTTGGCATACAGTTCTTCCATGACCAACAGAAAATATAGGAAGGGTTTTGTGGGCAGTGTCCTTTGATTTTGGAGTTGTAGTTCACCTACATCCAGATTACTGTGGACTCAAACAATGATGGATCTGGACCAAACTCTAAACAAATACTCAATATGCCCAAATGTGAATACTGGTTGAGTTTGGGGGAAATAGAATCTTGACATTTGGGCGTTGTAGTTGCTGGGATTTGTAGTTCACCTACAATCACAGAGCATTCTGAACCCCACCAATGATAGAATTGGGCCAAATCTCCCACACAGAACCTCCATGACCACCAGAGTGGGCCACAGCAAGGCGTGGCAGGGGACAGCTAGTATTTAAATTAAAACTAAATGGATAATACTTTGAGTGCAATACGATTCAACAATGGTGCTGAGTCCTGGCACCAATTTTCTGTCTCAGGACCTATCAGAAGCCATGGAGTCATCATTAAATGCCATCAGGGGACCCAAATTGGGGGGAAACTACAGAGCACTGGCCACTATGTAAATAAATAATATTTGGCCCTCTGTATCTACGGGTGCTCCGTCTATGGATTCAACTTTGAAGGCAACCCTAAGGCTGATGTGGCCCGCAATGGAAAGGAGTGTGACACCCCTGATCTGCATGATAGGCGCACTCTCTGTCCCAGCATGAAAGCTGGTGCATGTTCCTCCCTCCATGTTGGGACACGCTTATCTCTTCTGAAAGATTTCTGCTAGCGCGGGCCAGCCTGGGCTTGGGTTGCAAACTGGGCAGCCTTCCGAGCTGCTTTTTTTTAATCACACCTTCTCTGTTTATCTAAGATAATGCTCAAGGCGCATGAACCAAGAGGGCAGAGCCAAGCCTTTCTGGTTGGGCCACGTAGGGGTGGCAGGAGCCCTTCCTTCCTTCCTTCCTTCCTTCCTTCCTTCCTTCCTTCCATCCATCCATCCATCCATCCATCCATCCATCCATCCATCCATCCATCCATGAGGATATTCAAGGATCATGCCATGAGAGTGGATAGGAAGGCGGGCATTAATTCTACGGTGCATCTGCACTGTAGAGCTAATGCAGTTTGAGACCACTTTATTGTCTGTGGCCCAATGCTATGCAATCCTGGGATTTTTAGTTTAATCAGGCAAGCAGTACCCCTATCTATCTATCTATCTATCTATCTATCTATCTATTTATCTATTTATCTATTTATCTATTTATCTATCATGTCAGGAGCAACCAGACAGTTGTATTACATTTTTGACAAAACAAACAAACAAAACACAAAGTTTGCAAGCTTTGTAGTTGATTAAATGTCCTTTGACCAGTATCTGGCCACTTGGAGTGCCTCTGGAGTTGCCGCAAGAAGGTCCTCCATTGTGCATGTAGCAGGGCTCAGGGTGCATTGCAGCAGGTGGTCAGTGGTTTGCTCTTCTCCACACTCCATGTCGTGGATTCCACTTTGTAGCCCCATTTCTTGAGGTTGGCTCTGCATCTCGTGGTGCCAGAGCGCAGTCTGTTCAGCGCTTTCCAAGTCTGTGTGCCCAGGGGGGAGTCTCTCAATTGGTGTCAGCCATTGGTTGAGGTTCTTGGTTTGAGCCTGCCACTTTTGGACTCTCACTTGCTGGGAGTGTCTTTGTAGATCTTAGAAAACTATTTCTTTATTTAAGTCGTTGGCGTGCTGGCTGATACCCAAACAGGGGATGAGCTGGAGATGTCTCTGCCTTGTTCCTTTCACTATTGGCTGCTACTTCCCGGCGGATGTCAGGTGGTGCAATGCCGGCTAAGCAGTGTAATTTCTCCAGTGGTGTAGGGCGCAGACACCCCGTGATAATGCGGCATGTCTCATTAAGAACCACATCCACTGTTTTAGTGTGGTGGTATGTGTTCCACACTGGGCATGCAGACTCAGCAGCAGAGTAGCATAGCGCAAGGGCAGATGTCTTCACTGTGTCTGGTTGTGATCCCTAGGTTGTGCCAGTCAGCTTTCGTATGATATTGTTTCTAGCACCCACTTTTTGCTTGAAGTTCAGGCAGTGCTTCTTGTAGGTCAGAGCATGGTCCAGAGTGACTCCCAGGTATTTGGGTGCGCTGCAATGCTCCAGTGGGATTCCTTCCCAGGTGATCCTCAGAGCAGTACCACTATATACATATATACCTATATATATGTGTGTGTGAGAGAAAGTGAGTGAGTGTGAGTGTATGTATATATATATATGATTGTGTGTGTGTGTATATATATATATATTGTAAATCACAGATGATTCCCTGTCCCTCATAAATATAGTAGTAGTAGAAGTAGTAATACTTTATTAGTTGCCTCTACTGCTTTCTCTTTAATCTGTCTCCTTAAATCTTCTAGAGATATAAATAAGCATAGATAAAAGTAAAGATTTTCACCTGAAATTAAGTCCAGTAATGTCCGACTCTGGGGGTTGGTGCTCATCTCCATTTCTAAGCCAAAGAGCTAGCTTTGTCCATAGACACCTCCAAGGTCATGTGGCCGGCATGACTTCATGGAGTGCTGTTACCTTCCTGACGGAGCGTTACCTATTGCTCTACTCACATTGTATTGATGGGCGTGGCCTTATGTAAGCCACCCCGAGTCCCCCTGGGGGAGATGGAGTGGGGTATAAATAAAATATTATTATTATTATTATTATTATTATTATTATTATTATTTGCATGTTTTGAAACTGCTAGGTTGGCAGAAGCTGGGGCTAACAGCGGGAGCTCACGCCACTCTTCAGATTCGAACCTGTGACCTTTAGGTCAGCAAGTTTAGCAGCTCAGCGCTTTAACCCACTGCGCCACTGGAGGACGGGACTCCTAAATAATTATAATAATGGCCCCTGGTAGTGCAGTGAGTTAAACTGCTGAGTTGCTGAACTTGCTGACTAAAAGGTCGGCTGTTTGAATCCGGGGAGCGCGATGAGCTCCCACTGTTAGGCCCAGCCTCTGCCAACCTAGCAGTTTGAAAACATGCAAATGTGAGTAGATCAATAGGGAAGGTAATGGTGCTCCATGCAGTCATGCTGGCCACATGATCTTGGAGATGTCTATGGACAACACTGGCTCTTAGGCTTAGCAATGGAAATGAGCACCTAGAGTCAGACACAACTAGATTTAATGTCAAGGGGAAACTTCCCTTTTTAACAATAATAGGTAAAGGTTTTCCCTTGACATTAAGTCTAGTTGTGTCCAACTCTGGGGGTAGGTGTTCATCTCCATTTCTAAGCCGAAGAGCCGGCATTGTCCATAGACACCTCCAAGGTCATGTGTCTGACTTGACTGCATGGAGTGGTGTTACCTTCCCGTCAGAGTGCTACCTATTGATCTACTCACTTTTGCATGTTTTTGGACTGTTAGCTAACACTGGGAGCTCACTCCACGCCCCTGGATTTGGACCTGTGACCAGCAGCTCAGCAGTTTAATCCACTGCGCCAATCATTGTTGATAACACTATGTAAATCTATATAAATAAAAATGTAAGGTTCGTTTGTGGGATTAGCATAACTCAAAAACTACTGCACGAATTGACACCAAATTTGGACACAAGACACCTAACAACCCAATGTATGTCCTTCACTCAAAAAAATGACTTTGTCATTTGGGAGTTGTAGTTGCTGGGATTTATAGTTCACCTACAATCAAAGAGCATTCTGAACCCCACCAACGATGGAATTGAACCAAACATGGCACACAGAACTCCCATGACCAACAGAAAATACTGGAAAGGTTTGGTGGGCAGTGTCCTTTGGTTTTGGAGTTGTAGTTCACCTATATCCAGAGATCACTGTGGACTCAAACAATGATGGATCTGGACCAAACACTACACGAATACTCAGTATGCTCAAATGTGCAGGCATGGGCAAACTTAGGCACTCCGGGTGTTTTGGACTTCAACTCCCACAATTCCTAACAGGGTGTTTGGGACTTGAAGTCCAAAACACCCAGAGGGCCCAAGTTTGCCCATGCCTGATATAGTGTGACAGATCCAAGGTCCATGGTCACCTGCTATGTATGATGCTCAGTATATACTTCACTCCCATTATCCACATTTATCAGTGTCCCTTCTGGTCCCATTCCAGAGTCCCACTCATATCAACGGAGAGGCATTTCTGGGAGAAGGCGAATTGCTGGACAGACGGAGTGAGGCCCTCTCCGACCCATTGGTGCTGAAGCAGCCGGAGGAGGACGCGGCGGCGGCGGCTGTGCGGCTTTTGGACCAGATCCCTCTGCACCATTCAGCCTACATCCCTGTGCCCAGGCAAAGGTAGGCTGTTCAACAGTGGAATCTGCAGGAGTCTCTTTGTCTGGAAGTTTTAAAGCAGAGGCTGGATGGTCGTCTGTGGGGAGGGATTTGATTGGGTATTCCTGCATGGCAGAAGGGGGTTGGACTGGATATATATGTTGTGTGTATATTTGTGTATTTGTGTTTTTATGTACATGCATATATGTGTGTATATATATATGTGTGTGTGTGTGTATGTATATATATATATATGTGTGTGTATATATTTGTGTATTTGTGTGTTTATGTACATGCATATTGTGTATATGTGCTTGCTTGTCTATATGCTTATTTGTGTGTATGTATGTATGTATGTATGTGAATATATGTGTGTGCATGTGTATATGTATATATATGTGCGTATGTAAATATGTGTGTATATATATATGTATATATGTGTGCATATATATATTTGTATATCTGCGTTTATGTACATGCATATTGTGTATATGTGCTTGCTTGTCTATATGCTTATTTGTGTGTATATATGTATGTGAATATATGTGTGTGCATGTGTATATGTATATATATGTGTGTATGTAAATGTATGTGTGTATATATATGTGTATATATTTGTGTATCTGTGTGTTTATGTACATGCATATTGTGTATATGTGTTTGCTTGTCTATATGCTTATTTGTGTGTATATATGTATGTGAATATATGTGTGTGCATGTGTATATGTATATATGTGTGTATGTAAATGTATGTGTGTATATATGTGTGTATATATGTGTGCATCTGTGTTTATGTACATGCATATTGTGTATGTGTGCTTGCTTGTCTATATGCTTATTTGTGTGTATGTATGTATGAATATATGTGTGTGCATGTGTATATGTATATATGTGTGTATGTAAATGCATGTGTGTATATATATGTGTGTGTATATATTTGTGTATCTGTGTGTTTATGTACATGCATATTGTGTATATGTGCTTGCTTGTCTATATGCTTATTTGTATATATGTATGTATGTGAATATATGTTTGTGCATGTGTATATGTATATATGTGTGTATGTAAATGCATGTGAGTATATATGTGTGTGCGTGTGCATATATATATGAGTGTATGTGTATATGTATATATGGTGTATTTTTGGGGTTTTTAAGTCTGTTCCGCTGGAGTTTTGTGTGTGTGTTTATGGATGATGGACACTCATTGGACTGTTAGGTGTATTGTGTCCAAATTTTGTGTCAGTTCATCCAGTGGTTTTTGAGTTATGTTAATCCCACAAACGAACATTACATTTTTATTTATATAGATAGATGTCATTTACGAAAGCAGTGTGTGTTAAAATAGATAGCAAATCTTTCCTTCTTAAATAATGCGTCAATACTCACCTGTTTTTCTGCAAGATGCTTAAAAGATGGTCTACCCTTCTGGATTCTGCTAGAGTGTTGTAGTCATGGAAAGGCTTTTTATGATTTGTGTGACTGCTTTGGGATTCAGTCTGAACTTTAAAGGAGCTGTTTGAGGAACTGAAACCCACTTTGGGCTTGAATCTAAACTTTAAAGGACCAATCTGAGATACTGGAGTAATGTCAGAGATAGGGTTCGGCACTATGGCTAGTTCGCCAAAAGATCGGACTAAAACCCAGACCGGACTCAGCACTCCATAATTGTTTCAGAAACTACCAGCGGCTGCCCCAGCTTTTGGTTGCTGTCTGGCGGAGATCCTTTATTGGGAGGTGTTAGCTGGCCCTGGTTGATTCTTGTCTGGAATTCCCATGCTTTTTGAGTGTTACTCTTTATTTAATGCTACTAAGTGCGAAAACCTCCCAACAAAGGATTCCCCCAGGCAGGAATGTCCACCTTAGACATTCCACAGATTGTGTCTGTTTCTAGGAGGTGGTGCTCATCTCCATTTCTAAGCCGAAGATCCAGCGTTGTCCGTAGACACCTCCTAGGTCATGTGGCCAGCATAATGGAGCGCCGTTACCTTCCTGCAGAAACAGTACCTGTTGATGTACTCACATGTTTCTGGGAGGTGGTGCTCATCTCCATTTCTAAGCCAAAGAGCCAGCGTTGTCCGTAGACACCTCCTAGGTCATGTGGCCAGCATAACTGCACGGAGCGCCGTTACCTTCCCGCAGAAGCAGTACCTATTGATCTACCCACATTTGCATATTTTTGAACTGCTAGGTTGGCAGAAGCTGGGGCTAACAGCGAGATCTCACTCCCTGGATCTCACTCCCTGGATTTGAACCACTGACCTTTCAGTCAGTAAGTTCAGCAGCTCAGCGGTTTAACCCACTGTGCCACCAGGGGGTCCATACTTGTTTATAATATTAATAACACAAGTGAGGTTGGTGGGGACGAGGAGTAGGGCCTTCTCAGTGGTGGCCCCCCACCTGTGGAACTCACTCCTCGGGGAGATTAGATCGGCGACTTCCCTTCTGGCATTCAGGAAAAAACTGAAGACCTGGGTTTGGGACCAAGCTTTTGGACACACTGGCAACTAAATTAAGGATCTGATGATAGACAAGGACAAATGGAATGGAATGGATAGATGGACTCTGAACCCGAGCATGAGATTGTTTTAATATCTTATTATGCATTGATGTTTTAATTTAACTGTTGAATTGCTTTTTTGTACTTTGTATTGCTGTCAATTGATTTAGGCATCTAATTGTGCCTCCTCTGTAAGCCGCCCTGAGTCCCCCCCGGGGTGAGAAGGGCGGGATATAAGTAAATGAAATAAATAAATAAATAAATAAATAAATAAATAAATAAATAACTATTATTGTTATTGTTATTATGCCTCTGTGGATCTAGGAGTCTTGGTAGACTTTTGGTTGCTGCCTGGGGAGATCCTTTATTGGAAGGTGTTAGCTGGCCCTGATTGATTCTTGTCTGGAATTCCCCTGCTTTTTGAGTGTTGCTCTTTATTTAATGCTACTATATGCAAAACTGGACTGATCTTGAAGGAGTTGGTGGTGGTGACGGCCGACAGGGAGCTCTGGCGTGGGCCCATGAGGTCACGAAGAGTCAGAGACGACTGAACGAATGAACAACAACAACAACAACAACATGCAAAAACCTCCCAACAAAGGATTCCCCCCCGGCAGGAATGTCCATCTATTCTGCTTTGGTTGTGTTGCAGAGGGCATAGTTGCCTCATTCCTTGCAGCCATCCGAGGCATGCATCAATGCACGGCTCTGCTTTACGAGCTCTCCAGGTTGTGTGGCACAAATACACACACACATGCGCACACACACACACAGAGGCCGGCCACGTCATGCTCCCTGCTGCCGAGGGGGAAGCACCCGGCTAAAAATAAGCCTTTAAATCAGTCGGCAATTATGTGTGTATAATCTTCTTAGATTACAAGCGCGGAGGCGCAGCTCCGCTTTGCCTGAAACAACAGGAAGCGACTTCCATCTCCTGGGCCTTGAAAGTGGTGCGCATGAGTGTGTGTCTATGCGCGTGCAACAGCGGGGAAGGGCGCCCCCTGGTGGAAATGTGGCCCAAAGTTAATCTGTTTGGGCAAATGAGAAAAAAACCTGATGGAGTCTCCTTTGGATGGACATCTGTCGGGAGTGTTTTGATTGTGTCTTCCTGCAAAAAGGGGCTGGATTGGCTAGACCTTGGGGTCTCTTCCAACTCCTATGATTCTGTGATCTTCATGTGTAACCCAAATGTGCTGTAAACAGAAGTTGCCACAGGTTGTGACTTTCTAGACTCTCTAGACCAGGCATGGGCAAACTTGGGCCCTCCATGTGTTTTGGACTTCAACAGCCGGGATTGAACCAAACTTGGCACACACAACTCCCATGACCAATTGAAAATGCCCTCCAAAACGGTTTGGTGGGCATTGACCTTGAATTTGGGAGTTGTAGTTCACCTACATCCAGAGAGCACTGTGGACTCAAACAATGAAGGATCTGGACCAAACTTGGCATGAATATTCAATATGTGTTCACAATATTCAAATGTGAACACTGGGGGAAAATAGACCTTGATATTTGAGAGTTGTAGCTGCTGGGATTTATAGTTCACCTACAATCAAAAAGCATTCTGAACTCCACCAATGATGGAATTGAACCAAACTTGGTACACAGAACTCCCATGACCAACTGAAAATACTGGAAGGGTTTGGTGGGCATTGACCTTGAGTTTTGAAGTTGTAGTTTACCTACATCCAGAGATCACTGTGGACTCAAACAATGAAGGATATGGATCAAACTTGGCACAAATACTCAATATGCCAAAATGTCAACACTGGTGGAGTTTGGGGAAAAATAGATTTTGACATTTGGGAGTTGTGGTTGCTGGGATTTATAGTTCACCTACAATCAAAAAGCATTCTGAACTCCACCAATGATGGAATTGAACCAAACTTGGCACACACAACTCCCATGACCAGCAGAAAATACTGGAGGGGTTTTGGTAGGCATTGACCTTGATTTTTGGAGTTGTAGTTCACCTACATCCAGAGAGCACTGTGGACTCAAACAATGAAGGATTTGGACCAAACTTGGCATGAATATTTGATATGTGTACTGTTCACAATATTCAAATGGGAACACTGGGGGAAAATAGGCCTTGATATATGGGAGTTGTAGCTGCTGGGATTTATAGTTCACCTACAATCAAAGAGCACTCTGAACCCAGCCCATAATGGATCTGCACCAAACTTGGCACGCTACCTACATAGCCAACATTGAATACTGGTGGGGTTGAAGGGCTGTTTTTGAATTCTGGGAGTTGTAGTTCAGCAACACCAAAACAGAAGAGTCGGACAGGCGGAGAGATCTTCAGCTTTCTCTACCAAAAAGGTTCCTAAGACCATCAGAAATACATGTTTTCCGATTGTCTTTGGTGACCCCTCTGAAACCCCCCTCGCGACCCCCAGGTTAAGATGAATGCAGCTTGATTCCACTTTAACCGCTGTGATTCAATGCTATGGAATGCTGGGAGTTGTAGTTTGGTGAGGCACCAGCGTCCTTTGGCAGGGAAGGCTAAAGACTTTGCA